TTCTAGATACACAAAGTACTGTGTTATACTGTGGTACTGTGCTTAAAACAGTAAAACCACTGGTTGTGGCAAAATAAAAACCCTCCTGTAAGGTAAAAAATAGAGGGAGCACGAAACAAAGGCAAGAAAGAAAAATAAATTCTGCTGTGCTTTGAGGAAAGGAGAAGGCAGGAGAGGCTGTCTGAGTCAGGAGGATACACTCAACTTACAGGGGCTTTCTAAAATGTGAAAAGTTCCTGAAGCAGCAAAGAAATGCAGAAGGGCCCAGACCTCACCAGAGCTGGGTCAAGGAAGAGTTGGGAGAACATCAGAATTAGCAAAAAAACCAATTTTTTTTCTCCCCAATGAGCTGTCAAAGTCACTGTTCTCAAATGTGACAGGCAGGTGCACCTGATGGGTGTCAAAGGTTGCAGGAGTCTAAATGAGTAGTGAGGTACCAACAAAACCACTCCAAACAAGAAACAAGAACTTCTATTCTGTTAACAGAATTAATTATGGGGAGCTTTAATCTTTTAGACATTGCCATCCAACAGGATTTTAACCATGACTTAAAATTTCATGTCCATTAGCTGAGGTTCTTGGTCTCAAAACTCTCCTGTAATCAGCACACAAAAAGTCTTTCTCCAGATCTCTTGCATTTCTTGGATTCACCTGGCTGAAAACCACCATTAGACCAAAGTTTCTTAAAGCATTTTTATATGTCCTTGTTTTAGTAAGCTTTCTTGACAAAAAAAAAAAAAATCAAGTAAAATCCTGTATGGAAAGAGAGATTTTGTCTCTCTGTATTTAAAAACAACCAAGAGACCCGGCTGATTTAAGTTTTCCTGTAAAATATTATTGCTCCTGCTCAGCTGATTTACCTACTCATAAAACCCAAAAACACCTCCCTGCAAATATTATCTTCTAGAGCTGTCATATCCCAATATATACTGCTGGTTCAAAATAAACAAGTGTTAAAAAACAGCTTTTTACATCACTGCAAATATGACCTAAAACCTAGAAATTCATTCTCAGATAATAGTTTTCCTCTACAAAATACCATATTCTGAATATATATAATATATTCTGAATATATATAAAAATACACTCAGAAAAACAGGATAAAACAAAGTTTTGAGAGATGAGCAGCCAAGTCTTATAGGCCAAAACTCTGTTAAAAATGTCACAGTGAGTACAGTGCAAGGATGTGATGATGGGATGAAGCTGTGACTGAATATTTTTATCCACAGACAGTCTGTGGATCATGGGCTTCAAAGTTTTCCTTATATATTATTTTTTCCTGTTCTCTGTTGTTGTTTTTTTTTTAATCATACTGCTCAGAAGAATAGAGATATTTTTGATATGCTTATCAACACCAAGAGACCCCAGGGAAGTTTTTGTTTTTGTTTTTTTCCAGCAAAATAATTTTGATTAATTCATTAATTAGTGAATTACTGTGGCTCAAAACCAAACCAACTGCTGCCACTTTCCAACGTGTTCCTCAGGCCTTTTGACAGCTCCAAATATATTTGAAATAAACCTTAAATTTTCAAACAATGGGACCACAAGAGCCAAAAGTGCTTTGCACAGCAGGAGTGCTGGGGGATTTCATCTTTATGACCAGGAGCCACTCTGAAATCTGGCATCAGCCTTCAAAGCCACACTCATCAGCACCTTGGATTCTTACTGGGAATATGACTGGAAGCACAGCAGAGTCCCAGACCAGCAAGAACAGGTCAGATTTACTTATATATAGTGAAGCAGAGCAAATAAATCAATCTATTTCCACAGCTCTGGCAGATGGAGCCAGGCCACGGCTCAGTCTGCTCCGAGTTTGTGGTGAGCAAAGCGCAGCTCCGTGGTGCCTGTTCCATCTCTGAGGGTTTAGACACACAGCTGAAGGTAGAATATATGGGCAACACCTGGAAAATCACAGTCTGAAGTGCAGGAAATTGCCTAAAACCATCTTGGGAGCCACTGGTAGGGTGTTACACCTTGCTTTTTTTGCTTAACCGTGATGATGAAGGATAAGAATGGATCCTGCATTCAGCTGACCAATTTTGGACTTCCAAGTGATTTTGAGGTGCAGATTATTCCAGCAGAGAGCTCAGACAAGCTATATCCACCAGCACCTATTTTATTTCATCAACTCTAATAGGAGTCAAGGGACTCAGATGTGCACCTGTGCCGTCAGTGGTTGGTTTTAGTCAGGGGTCCAGCAGGATCTCAAGCCCTGTAATTGCTCTCTGCTTGCATGTCTCCAAAAAAAAAGGGAAAAGAAAAAGGGAAACAGAAAAAAAGGGGAAAAGAAAAAGGGGAAAAGAAAAAGAAAAAGGGGAAAAGAAAAAGGGGAAAAGAAAAAGAAAAAAGAAAAAGAAAAAGAAAAAGAAAAAGAAAAAGAAAAAGAAAAAAAAGAAAAAGAAAAAAAGAAAAAGGGGAAAGGAAAAGGGGAAAAGAAAAAGGGGAAAAGAAAAAAGAGAAAAAGAAAAAGGGGAAAAGTGAAAAGAAAAAGTGAAAAGTAAAAGGGAAAAGAAAAAGGGAAAAATAAAAAAAAGAGAAAAAGAAAAAGAAAAAGGGAAAAGAAAAAGGGGGAAAAAAGAAAAAGGAAAAGAAAAAGAAAAAAAAGAAATATAAAAATAAAAATAAAAAGGAAAAGGAAAAGAAAAAGAAAAAGAAAAAGAAAAAGAAAAAGAAAAAGAAAAAGAAAAAGAAAAAGAAAAAGAAAAAGAAAACAGTGCCACAAGGAAAATGATACTGATAAATCCCCAAGCAAGGCAATGTTTTTGTGATGTACAATCAGTGTGAGCAGACTGGAACTCACATCTTCAGGGCTCATAATTTACAAGACAACCAGATTCTTCAGATTTTTGTGTTCCCTTGAAGGAGAAGCCATGTCTGTGATTACACCAAAAATGCTTTCAAAGTCCAGCTGTTTTACACTCCTCATTAAAATTCAGGCAGCTACCACACATTCCAAAGCACAGGAACAGACACACATTTAGTAAGATTTATTTACACAAATCTGACCTAAATCAGTGCTACTCATCCAGCATCAAAATTCCTTTCCAACGTGAGCAGCCAAAGCCAAAGTTAAACTTGCAACACAAAGCACCACCAGAGTCCTATTTTGAGAAGTCAAGTATCAATTAAACCTCACAGTGAGCAAAAGTCTACTCCTTGAGATTTATTCTCCCATTTCTTAGGGAATATCTGTATGGCCTACCCCATCCTGCTTCCTGAGGAAGATATTTCACAGATATCCTGCACATGGCTGGGTGAGAACTTTCTCAGGTTCTGTGGAAAATTCTCAGCAGCCACTTGTCAAGCCAGATGGTAGAAGGCTTGATATGAGCACTGCAAAGCCTTAGCAAGTAAGGAGCTGAAATCACATTTCTTCCTCAGAGAGCCATCTGAGTAAGCAAAGAAACACAGCAGAAGTTCCTAAATAACCTCAAGCTTGGAGTGCCATGCAGGGAATCCCTAGCACTGAGAAATAACTCACTGAAGGTGCAGCTCTAACACCAAACTGGAGTTTCCTGCTTTTTCTGCATTCCCTGAGGGAATTGCTGCAGCTCAGAGGGGGTGTGGGAGGCACAGATAAAACACACCACCAAGGGACTTTGATATACTTCACTCAGGATCACAAAGGGAAACTCCAACTCCCTCAACAGCCTGGAAATACTATCCAGAAGAGGCATTTACAGCCTTTAAGAAAAACCCAGAGTTCATGGCTTGAAACCAAGCTTGCTTGCCATCTGCCCAAGTAAATTGACCATTTGTCCCTGTTAGAGACAGCTGGGATATTACAGCAATTAAAGTGGCACAGGGAGGGAGTGACATTTTTGGTTTGGGAAGAGACTGCAGCAATGACACCATCCAAACATTCCTGATTGTGAAGAGGTGACACTCTAAAGTGAATAATGAAAAAGGGTGTTCACCAAGCATGAGCACTTCCAGTTGTTCAAGTTAAATAAATGAGTTCCCTAAAAAGATATCTTTTGTTCCTATGGAAGAGATTTGCACCAAATGAAAGAATTGTGTTTCTGACAATGCAAAGCATCCATAGTCACTGGCCAGACTTTTACAGAGTACATATTTGCCTTTCGATACCGACATCTGTGAGCCAGCAGCAGTAATAAATCTGAATGTTAGCACAGTTAGCTTTCCACATTTTAGGTCAAATGCTATCAAATTTAGCTTATCAGCTTATTAAGATAAAACAAGCTCCTTTTTCATTAGCTTTCTGATTAGTTGCTTGGTTTCCAGAACCTGGGACAGTAAAAAGGGTTGTTGTTTGGTTGGGGCTTTTTTCCATAGTGTAAATGCTTAATGCCCACTGGTTGTCCTTTATAAATCATAAACAGGGAAATCACTGCTTGATCCCTTGCTAGAAGAGGGGAATGTGATGATTTCAGCATGTTTAAAACACACATTCCTAAAATACCTAACTGGTCTGTAATTTTTTCACAGTATAAGGCCTGAGCTTAGTGGTTAGGTTCCTTAACCTGCAACCACACTGGTTTTGATCATCAAGCTGTGCAGTGCCAGCCTGTTGAGCTGGATACTTTGAGAGTTGTGTTATTGTCTTCCAAAGATAGCAGCCTTCCCTGGGAGCAAACACAAACACAAAAAAAATGGGACCCAGCACTGAAGAGGTCTCTGCCACAGCAAAATGTCCTTTGTTGGGTGCAGACTGCAGCATCCACCAGGCTTCTGCTGCTCTGACACGTGGGAAAGAAAAGGTTGTGCCCTTTGGAGAGAGGTAAAAGTGTTGCTGTTTTAGGAAAGAGGGCTTGAGTGTGCTCCAGGATGGCTGCAAGAGCTCCAGCAAAGAGAATTTAATCAAACTGGCTGTCACATCTCCTCTCTTGTGCTGGGAGATCTGTGAGGAAGATTTAAAAAAAAAACAAAAACAAAAACAAAACAACAAAAACAAAACAACAAAAAAACCCCAAAGAAACAAAAATAAACATAAAATTACGTCCTTTTAATACGTTTCACAACATGTGTTCTTATTTTAGAGTCGACATACCGTCACCAAGCTACCATTGATGATGAAGTGGTTTCCATGGAGATACTAGACACAGCTGGCCAGGTGCGTGGGTGCGTGTGCTGCTACCCAGCTCCTTGCCTTGGGTAGGCAGCAGGGGAGGAAATTGTGGTGGTGGTGGCAGTGGGTGGCAGGTGTGCCCTACTCTGGGGACACTCATTTGCTTCTGGGCAGAACTCCCCTCTCTCCTCACCCTGTGCTGGATCCTCACCCTTCTGCAAGGGATCCTGCTGGGGAGAACCATCAAGTCAAGGGGTTTTTTACTCTGGGGTAAATTATTTTGTTGTCATGCCTTTTTAATTGTGGCCAGCCCAAGTAGGCACAAAATCTCGGTCTGTTTCTGCAGGCAAGTGATGAGGCTTGACAACTTCAGTCAATGATTCCCGCTGAAGTGAAGAGCAGATTTGTCACAGTCAGGTGTCCCTTTTAAAACACAGCTGCACAGGCAGGTCGTGGCACTGGGTGGAACACGCCACACGACAAAAAGGGTTCTGGTGTGTGCCAAGTATAAAGTGAAGCAGACACACGCAGCTTTGTAGGCTTTGGAGGACCAGCACCTCCCTGGAAGTCTGCTGTCTTCTTCAAAACCCAAATTCCTAAGGCATCCTTCCACCTTTCCCAACAGGAGGATGCCATTCAGAAGGAAGGACACGTGCGATGGGGCGAGGGCTTCGTGCTGGTTTACGACATCACGGACAGAGGCAGCTTCGAGGAAATGCTGCCGCTTAAGAACTTGCTGGATGAGGTTAAAAAGCCCAAAAACGTCACCCTGATCCTGGTGGGGAACAAAGCAGACTTGGATCACTCCAGGCAAGTCAGCACGGAGGAAGGTGAAAAGCTGGCCACGGAACTTGCTTGTGCTTTTTACGAGTGCTCTGCTTGCACAGGAGAGGGGAACATCATGGAGGCCTTCTACGAGCTCTGCCGGGAGGTGCGGCGCCGCAAGATGGTCCAGGGCAAGACTCGGAGGAGAAGCTCCACCACCCACGTCAAGCAGGCCATTAATAAGATGCTCACCAAAATCAGCAGCTAAAAAGGAGCTGTCCTGAGGCAGAGGAGCATTTTAGAGGGTATTAGCTTGGAGTAGGGATGGGGCAAGCAGAGCGCGTTTAGCGAGAAATGGTCAAATCTTTGCAATGAGGGAAAAAAAAAGCACCAAAAAGACAAATGCCACCACTTTTTTGAGTAACACATACTATTTTCTTGTTTTGAAATGTATTTAGCCACGCTGCTTCTGACTAATGTGGGGGAAAAAAAAACACCAAGGAAAAAAAAAAAACAACAAACACCAAATGAACTCCAAAGGACCAGACAATTGTGGGGATTGGCAACCAAGAGAGAATCTTCTGCTTCTACGTGGCTAGCTCCAATCCCCTGCAAGTCAGTAGTGCCTAAACATCATTTCCAGCCAGCCAGCTGCCCAGTAGCCATTGGAAAGTAAGATTCAGCCCTCAGTCCATCAATAACCATCACAACTGCTGTTCTCCAGGACTGAATATGTGTAGAGGCTGCTGTGCTGAATCAGAAAGTTCACCTGATACCTTCACCAGCTCTAAGTTGTTGGCTCATTGTATGCTTTCACTCCTTCCTTGTTATTTTTGTCAAATCCATGAGTGTTGATGTTCTCAGCAAGGTATGCAAAAAATATGGGAAAGGTCTATTTCCTGGTGTGTTTAGTCAGCTAGACACACATTTCAAGAGAGCTGGAGTTCCAGCTGCTCTGAAAGTGCAGAATTCTCCAGAAATAATCAGCTAGTCCAGCAGCATTTCATCATTTCTCCCTCAAAGTGCAGTACTGTGCTTGGGGAAGTGGGAGAAGATGTGTTGGGAAATCAAACTGAAAAACAGCAAAAAAAAAGAAAGAACCATATTACTATTGACTTAGCTATGAGTAGTTTTTAGCTTTTTTTTTTTGGGGGGGGAGAAGGGGAGGGTCTTTTTTTTCAATTCAAGTAATTCTTCTTAGTCTATCTTATACAAACGAAGACCTGAATCCTTGGGAAGGCAAGTATTTGAAGTCTAAGCCCAAATGTAAATCAGATCTGAATGGCCTCTACCATATCAAAAGACCATAATTTCCAGCTGTTTAAACTTCCAGATGCTGCTTGGAGCACTCTGGGGCTTAAAGCAGTGCAGGGTTTTTGTGAATTTTATCTGGAAATGCATTTTATCAGATTTTGGTGCCTGGGATGAAAGGTGTCCAGTTTTTTCCTTCTCCCTCATAAGCCAGCTGCCAAGTTTTGCCTCCTGTCCAGTTGGTTTGTTAACTGCTAAAAGCTGCAAGAACCAAGAGTGGAATCTTTTCATTCAGATTGTGCTGGTCTCCCACCAGTGGTGCTGCATCCCTTCAGAAGCGCAGCCAGGGGCTGGGATGACAAATTAACAGTACTCTCCTTTGAGGAACAGGGCCCTTGCAGCATTTGCTTACAGCTTTATCCTCCACTGCTTTGTACTTCACGTGGTTATTTGGGAGGAGGTAACTCCCAAAGGCTGTCAAATGCAGTTTGCCACAGATGTAGGAAAGTGAGTAAAGTGAATAAATCAAACTGGCCATCACTCTGTTGAGTTATAGGTAGTTCCATATAGGTGGTGGAAAAGGCTGAAGAGGCAGATCTGTATATCCCTGTGAACAGAAAAATGTTCCAAATTAGGACTTCTATTAAAATAATTCACTTAAGGATATTTTACCTAAGTAATTTGTTTTTAAAACTTTCACTTTTACCCAACCAGCAAAGAACATCACATTCAGATGTATATTTTATTTGGCCTGTTGTTTGTTTTCTCTGCTTCTGTATCCTGGGTGGTAAAAAACCTCATTTCACTCTCCTGGAATCAGTGTCTATATTTTGTCCTTCATGTTCACGTGTGATGCTGTACATCAGCTGGACACACTGCAGTGGAAATTTCACAGTGTGCTTCTGGGCAGGGGGTCCTTGCAACAGGCCTCTGTGACACACTTGTTCCCAAACTACTCATCTTATCATTAACTTTTTTTAAAAAGAAAAAAAAATACCAAAAAAAAAAGAAAAAAAAAAAAATAGAGGATTTTCCATTTTTAGTCCTATTAGAAATGTAGAATCAATCCAAGTGTAAAAGAGCAAGCTTGTGCCTGTTCACAAAACAGATTTCTTTAGCTTTAGGGACTGAACTTGCAAGCAATTTAGTTACATTAGGAGCCAGAGTGAGCATTTGCAAGTTGAAGCATTAAAGTTCTGTTATCTTTCAAATCAGTGCTGGTATCTGAAGTAAAGAAAATCCTTACCTGCAATCCCAAGGCAAGGTAGCCAAGTCTTTACACTGGTATGCAAAGCAATTCATTCATCCCTCTTAGAAATCTTCAGCAGTTCTTTTATCTGAAAAACCTTTCTTGGGGCTCAGGTTGGAGCTGCATTTAAAATACAAAAAGGTTATAAATGAATGACAAGAGAAACTAATTAATCATATTCATACTAGAAGAGTTAAAAGGAAAGAGAGGCTGAGTTTTGGCCCTCATATTTTCCAAAAGATTTGCAGCAAATTGTATCTTCTTTTATAAAGTCTCTGTGGACAAATTATAAAATGCTGGTGAAAATAAAACGTTCCACTGCGCAAACATCTCTTGTTACATAAAGAACCTACAATAAAAATAGTAACATTCCTTTGCAAGGACTGAATTTGAGAACTGCCAAACAAGATAAACACTTGGTCAAAAAGGAGGCTGCCATTTTGTCACCTTTCCTCCAAAACAAACACAAACTTCTTCACTTAATTGCTCATTAATTTTCTTCCCTCAAAGCCATTTCTACTGTGCTGCATTATAACCTGTTGATTTGCATTACATAGCATGAAATGCAACTTGATTTCCTGCTGCTCACCATGTTGCAACACATTACTGGATATGTTATAAATCTGTCCACAATGTGCAAATTGAGCCCAAAATTGCCCAAGCATTGAAAAGGCTGAGTGCAGCATGAAACCACATTCAGTAGCCTTTCTGCAGCAGACACCAACAGATTAAATTCTGTTTCTCCTGCTGCTAAATGTGTGTATGTGACACTAACATTAAATTTCTCTCCTCTGCCTGCGACCATTCCTGCGGAGAGAGGATGGGAAGGATGCTAAACAAAAAACTGGGAGTAAAGGTGAAAGGGATACTTGTTACCTGCAACAAGTTGATCGTCACTTATGAAGTTTTTTAAATATTTATCTTCAATTGATGAAGAGTTAGTCATGCCCGTGCTGCAAGACCTGGATCAGGACCCAAAACTTCCCTAGAACTTTGAGAATCTTCATTATCTGGGGGTTTGGTGCAACTACAGATGGAAGAGAGGATCAGCCACTGGGTTTGCACCTGGATCCAGACAGGTTGTCCCCAGCCTGGGGATAGTTGGATCTGGCAGTTTGCTACAAGGCTAGTTGATTTTTATATATATAATGATCTGTATGCATTTTTACATTAAAAATATGAAAGCTTGTGCTTGTAGATAATATATAAGGAAAACAAAATAAAAAAGAAAAAGAAAATACAGTGTTTTCTGTACTGAACTCTCCCATATTGATCTTCCATTAGATGCCTCCGGTGTTCCTTCCTGCTATTAAGGGGCCAGTTCCAAAAGGCCTTTTTTTGGGTTTTTATTTAATCTTTATCAAAGGAAAGCAAACAGTGAATTTTACCAGAATAAGCACTGTAAATTTGGGATCATTTTATTTGAAATTATTTAGCTGTTAGTCCTGGAACAGAGAAGACAAACAGCATCCAGAGTGAGGCACAGCTCCAAATGTCCTTGCTAACTATTTCAAGGCCGATGAAGGGAGTTACAGGGTTGTTAACTAACCTCAGTGAAACCCACCAAATGATGTCCTGCCAACTCAACAGATCTCAATCCCAGACTGCTGAGGTGAAATCCTGGGCTAAGGAATCTGGGAGATTCATGCTGGTGATTTGGACAGAGGCAACTTTTCACCTGCTGCCAGCCACGCCTGTGTTCCAAGGATAATGCTCTGCTAAGGTGAAGAGGAGGTGCATAAAATGTACCTTATGAAAAGTGCATCATGTGAATGGTAAATAATCAAACAGAGCATGGGTATCAAGCTGTAGCAGAGGAAGCTCCAGCACTGAAGAGGGGAGCTGTAATCCACTCTTCTTGCCCCAAACCTGGGCCAGCCAAGTAACCCCAAAGCAAGGTGAACAGGAGTGGGGGTGTAAGAATGCCACATGTGGCAGAGCACTGCATGAAATCTGGGTGCAGATGCATGAAACCTCCCAACTGCATTCACTGCCTGCCTCTGGAGCACTACAAAGCAGCCTTGAGTTCTGTCAAGCCACACTACAACTTGCTCCAGTCAAAATAATGTCTCCTGCAAAGTAAGTAGCTGCAGTCATAAAGGCTATGTACAAACTGTGTTCAGGGCTCCTTTTATCTTTTTCCTTAATGGCTCAATACATATGCAAATCTTAAGAAGAAAAAGAAAAAGAGGCTTTAATTAAAAGAGGCTCCTTGGCATTTTGATGTGTCTGCCTTTATGCCCTTTGCAAAATTAAACCCATAACGAAAACAGTGTCATCTTAGAAACTCTGGTGTTACACATTTTATTTCCTCTGCAGATGCCAGGCACTAATTACCTCAGGCCATGGAAATATGAGGCAGAGGCTGGGCTTGTAGGAGGTTTCTAGGAGGTGATAACCATGGGGAGGCCAGCTCAGCCTGGTTTCTGCCAGCAAGGTGATTGCCCATGATTTCCTGATGCTGCAGCAAATGCTTGGGGCAGGACTCTGCTGGCTCTGGTGGGGCTTGAAGAGATGGGTCAAGCCCCTGTGAAAACACCCCCATGGCCAATTTCTCTCATCCACTTGAAGGATTTTCCCCATTTTCAGTTTGAAGAAGACTGGCAGGAAAATGTGAGGTAATTCCAGGCCACTGGCTGTTCAATCAACCCAAGAATTTGAGGGGATTTTTGCCTCCTGCCTTGTTGGACTGGTCTCTTCCATCTCCAGCTTGATTCCCCAAAGCAGCATTTGTCTTTTGCTGTTTCTAAATGAAGTTGTTTTGAGTTTTGTTTGGTTTTTTTGGGGGTTTTTTTGAATGGTAGTTGTCCATAGACTCAGATATCCATGGGCAAAGAGGCTGTGCCACTTCTCAGAGGTCACTCTCACAAGGATGGGGTGCTTGCAAATGCCTCTGGGTATAAATTATTAACTCTGAGCACAGAAGCTCTGAAGAGTAGGAAATAATTAATCCTTTTTTTCAATAAGGGAACCTCTCATTGTAGTACAGATGGCTGTGTCAAGCACCAGTCCTAAACCAGACTGAAATACTGCTCATCACTAGGAGCAGCCACGGTCTGTCATGAAATATTAACATGCAGAGTAATTAAAAAAAAATTAAAACAATTTACAGGCAGATTTCAAGCTAAACCTCTCTGAAAAAATGTACACATTCTTTCCTTTTAAATTTTATGTGGTATCAGGAATTTACAAAACCTCATTTCAAAATCCAGCAGGTTCTGGTGACTGAGAATGTATCAGTAATGTAAAAAATAAAGATTTTTATCAAACTCCCTTGTCAATACACAGGATTTAACCCCGCACTCTGTTTCTTATGGCCTGGTCAAAGCTGTCATTACTACAAGGAATATCAAGGAGACTCAGATGGAACTTTTGACATGAAAAAAATTCAAATTAAAAAACCCCCAATAAATAACCCCAAAGGGACATAACCCAAATAAAGGCTGAATTCCTATTTTCCTGAAAAGCAATTGTAAGATTTCATCCACCAGTTCTGGTACACAGGTGATCTGACCAAACCAAGTAATTAGAAACAGCAGAATATTTTGAGGTTTTAACTTGGATTTCTTTTTGCAAATCTAACTGTAAAGAAATA